CTAATTAATATAAGAAACAAAACTAGTTGATACTTTATGTAATGTTCAAAATATTAACATGGAATATGAATAGGAATTAATTAATACTCAAGGAAGAATATTAAAGAATATGAATCCTACTATAATTAATATCAAGATGTTAACTAATTGTCATCTTAGTAACACTCCCCAATATTAACATAGAGGAAGAAATAACTATTACTATAACCAATGTCAAGATGTTAACTAATTGTCATCTTAGTAGCACTCCCCAACTTTGATATAGAAATAGTATTTTAAAGGAAGAATTAATATTCAAGAAAGAAGATTAAAGAAAATAACTCACAACTTACAAATTCATTAAACTTCAAAGTAGCAAAACCAAGATGGAAGAGTTTAGCTCCTCATTTGGAGACTAAACATAATGAAAAATATAAAGAAAGAACTATTCTACACTGAGCTTAGATGTATAAAGGAATTGGATGTCTAATTGTGAAGGGAAGGGGGTGTATTTATAGGCTTTTGAGATGCAGCTCGGGTACCCGATCGGGTATATACAAGGTACCCGATCGGGTATGTGTAATACCTCAAATTCGAGGTATACTCGACCGAATTCAGGTTTGTTTATGAAGAGATACCCGATCGGGTGTGTCGGTGTACCCGATCGGGTATGGACATTCGATCGTGGTCCGAATCTTCGCTGCATGATCCTTTGTCTTCGGATCTGATCCGATTTGAAATTTCAACAAGATACCCGATCGACCGGGTATAGACAAAAAAATCAGGATCTTCTTTCTTTTTGATTTTTTGCACCTTCCTTCCACTTTTTGGGGTTCACCAACTGTCCTTTGAGTTGATCAAGACCTGTTTGAGCTCAGAATAAACCTAATCTAAACAATTTACAAGAATTTAACAAACTAAACTATTACACCAAAAGTGTGTAATTTCCAAAGTAAAAAATCAATCAAAACTAATTAAAAACACAAACATACAAATGGAAATTACAAGCGTATCAGGGTGAATAAACTGTACTGGTTTTTGACCTTTTCAAGCTAAGTACCAGATTTAACAGAATAGCCTGTTCTGTTGATAAAATAGACTGGCAGCGGATGGTCTTCTTGTAGGGGTTCTGTCCAGTTAGCCTCTAAGAGATGAAAAGGCAGTAGGCCTTCTGTTAACTCACAGGAGGGGTTCTGCTGAACACAGAGTCCCAAATTCTGGAGTTAATCAGTTAAAGATAAATGCAAGAAATAAAAGCAGTAAGTAAATGACACCAGGAATTTTTATAGTGGTTAAAGGAACAACTCATTCCTCTAATCCACTGTTCCACTAATGCGTGTAAAAGATCCAATTACAAAGCTTTAGCCTTAGCACTTAAGAAGCTCTCCACGTCTTCTTCAAGCCTAGATGTCTCCTGGGACGCACTTCCTTGCTTCCTTTAAGAATGGTCCTTTCACTGAGCTTCCTTGAAGTATCACCACTTCATTACTCCAATTACTTGGACGTCCTTCTCGTTTGAGAAGAGTTCTTGAGAGAACAAGGGTTTTCCAACTAGCTTCGTTACAAAAGATTTGTTGTTGAAGTGCTAGAAGTGTTGAAGAACAGTTGGAAGTTTGCTCTTGTTGAGATATGAAGATGGAGAAATATTATCTTCCCAACGTATGCCTTTCTTGTTGATGATGATGAAGTTTTTGATCTCAAGATTGCTTGTGCTTTTGAGTGTTTGAATATTTTGTTCGAGCACGAGTTTTTCAGAGTGTTAGCAAAGTTATCTCCTAGTTGTTCTTCGAGAGGTATCTTTTATACTGGGGTTGTCTTCTCGTTGGAGGAGGAGGACAACTGCATTAAATGAGCGTATAGTTGACTTGACTTGTAGGACCTGGTAAAGTTGGTGGCTTACTATTTTGGGATAAAGTTATCCTGAAATATCCTGGAATGTCGGCCAATCATCAGCTTTTACTCTTCAGGGTACGGGATGCATTAAATGTGCATTTAATGCGTGTACTGTAGCTTTTCCTTTGAAATCTTCTAGCCGTTGAAGGAATCTTCCATTGGTTTCACCGGCTTGGGTACTTTCATGAAAATTCTCTAAGTGTCAGGCCTTCTGGTGTCTTCAGCAGTGGATCAACCAGAGAGGGTCTCGAGCACTTTTGTTGGACTAGCTACCAGAGGGTCCTTAAGTCTTCTGTCAGGGAGTGAACTTAACAGAGAGTCTTGACACTTTCTGCTCTAGTGAAATCTAACAGAGAGGCAGGAGGACTTCTGTTAGAGAACTATCACCAGAGGGTCTATAAGCATTCTGTCTGGAGGTCTTTTGTCAGCCGGCTATACTGAAACACATACACAGGAAATTCTAATACAATTTTCTAAGGGGTACTCTAAAGTCCTATAACATCATCAAAATCTAATTACAATTATTCCTTACAAGATCTTGCTCCGTATATCCATGGTATGGATAACTAGCGCAGAGCTTCTTGAAGCGCTCCCAGATTGAAGCGCTCCCAGAATTCATAACGTGATTCATCATCACCTTGTTCAATATTGCTTATTTGCTTCTTTAAAGAGGAGACGGAGGTGAGATAGTATCGTTCCAAGAAGCATTTCTTCATAGCCGCCCATGTATCTATGCTTCCCGATGGAAGATAGAAAAACCAATCCTTTGCGATGTCCTTTAGAGAAAATGGAAAAGCCCGCAGTTTGATCTGTTCTTCAGTGACACCGTTTGGATATATGTTTTTTCAAACGATGTGAAACTCCGAGAGGTGTTTATTTGGATCCTCTCCTCTCAGGCCATGGAAGGATAGCATCAGATGAATGAGCCCAAATTTTAGCTCAAACGTATTACCCTCATTGAGTGTAGGGAAGGTAATACATAATGGTTGTTGATTCAAGTTTGGAGCTGTGAGCTCCCTCAAAGTTCTTGTTTCTAGAGCCATGGTGATTGGCTCTTCAAATTCGCTAGAACTAGAACTAGCGTTGGATGAATCTCCGGTAGATGATTCCTCCGAGTCGGTATTTGAAAATTTATTCTTCAACCGCTCGAAAGTTTGTTCTATTTCCGGGTTTGTTTGATAGGTGATCTCGTTTATAGAACGGTGTTTAACCATATACTTCACCAAGCTCAGAAATAGAAGAATAAGAACTCTTTATATTTTGTTTATTTATATATTTTTTGGTAATAAAATAAAATAAAAATAATTGTCTTTCCCCGACAACAGCGCCAAATTTGACGTGCACTTTGTCGTAGTGTGCACTCAAAATAAATACAATACAACAAATATACATAGTATATTGAAGTAAGGTTCGTATCCACAGGGAAATGAATACTTTTCTTTTACGTAACTAGTAACAAGGGGTTTTTATTTTTATTTGATTTAATAATACTAAGATGAACAACCTATATGAGTTTATATAATAGAGATGGGGACTTGGTTTTGCTTTTATCCACTTAATGAAATGTTCGTCGATCCCGGTTATATCTTTAACTATCTTCCTCTCGAATACTCAATCGAGGAGTATATCCAGTTCATCGAGGGTAGTTATTAATAATGAGACGCGTTCATTAATAAAACTTACTACCGAGTTAATATAGAACACGCGCCGTATATCAACTCGACAGTAGCAATAAAATCAAGATGAAAACGATTGAGATTGATAACCTCAACACAAGAGGTTTATTGGTTTAATCAACGTAATTAATTCCCCTTAGATTATTAACCATGAGACGCATTCATTAATAATCCAAGTTTACTACCGTGAATGAACCGAATTAATAACAAGCGTATTAATCGATTGATTCTAGTAATAATTAATATATGAAACAAAACTAGTTGATCCTTTAAGTAATGCTCAAAATATTAATACGGAATATGAATAAGAAATAATTAATATTCAAGGAAGAAGATTAAAGAAAATAACTCACAACTTACAAATTCATTAAGCTTCAAAGTAGCAAAACCAAGATGGAAGAGTTTAACTCCTCATTTGGAGACTAAACATGAAGAAAATATAAAGAAAGAGTTTGTCTAAACTGAGCTAAGAAGTATATGTGAATTGGTTATTTTCTTTGGGAAGGAAAGGGGGTATTTATAGGCTTTTGGAGTATTCAGGGGTGTGTACTCGATCGGGCATCAAGGGCAACCGATCGGGTATCTTCAGTGGCTTCCCGGAAGCTCGAAAAGTGGGACATACCCGATCGGGTTTGTCGGTCACCCGATCGGGTATGACACTCGAACGTGGTCAAATATCTTCCTGCATGTTGCCTTGTCTCGGATCCGATCCGATTTGATATTTCAACAAGGTACCCGATCGGGTATAGGTCATACCCGACCGGGTACAGACCAAAAATTCAGGATCCTCTATTTCTTTTGTGATTTTGTATCTTCCTTCCACTTTTGGGGTTCACCAACGATCCCTTGAGTGATCATGGATCTGTTTGAACTCAGAATAAACCTAATCTAAACAATTTACAAGTATTTTACAAACTAAACTATTACAGCAAAAGTGTGTAATTTCCAAAGTAACACTCAATCAATATTAACTAAAAACATAAATATAAACATGTATAGGTCATACCCGACCGGGTACAAAAGAGCTTATTTGCACTTTTTATTGGAATAAGCTATTGATAGACAAAATATAGCCTCTTGCATGTTTTGGTTTGGACATACGTGAGTGAGATAAATGATACTCCCTCCGTTACTTAAAACTTTGTCATCTTTCCTTTTTGGGACGTCCCAAAAAACTTTACCACTTTCCCTTTTAATCAATTATTTTGTGATTTCTGTTATTTCTCTTTCCTCTGCATAAATCTCAATCACACAATTTTTACTTTATTATTCTCCGTACCGATTAATTTTGTTAAAGTTTTAAGGAGGGGCAGGAAGTAGAAAATGCGAGGCATCAGTAGGTGTTCATTCATGACATGCCATCTCATTCCTCGTGACTCCATAATGATGGAGGGTGCTAGCTAGTAGCAGCTAACTTTAATTTGGATACCCACGAAATTTAACATAAGGGCACCAGGTTGATTGCCTAGATAGCTGGGCTAGCAGCAGCCGATATACTATACTATACGCCGGAGTATATAATAAAGACACTCCTAGCGAGTGAAATATATTCCGACCGGCGGCCGAGTAGCAAAATATAAATTATAATGGACTCTTTCTTCCAATCAACGCCCCTCCTACTCCTGCTGTTGTTGCCTCTGATCACATTCTCCATTATCCCTTATGTCACTGCAGTGATGGTTTCGGCGGCGGCCTTGGAGGATGCCCAGCAGGTGACGACGGCTTACTCGGGCAGGCAGCACGCACGGACGGATGCCCGCGAGCAAGAGGCTGTGTACGAGATCATGAGGGCCACCGGGAACCACTGGGCGGCGGAGATTCCGGACGTGTGCCGGGGCCGCTGGCATGGCATCGAGTGCATGCCGGACCAGAGCAATGTCTTCCACGTGGTTTCCCTCTCCTTCGGCGCGCTGTCCGACGACACGGCCTTCCCCACCTGCAGCGGCGCGGCCCCATCCATTTCCCCCGCCCTCACTCGCCTCTCTCATTTGCGAACCTTGTTCTTCTACCGCTGCTTGGCCGGCAACCCCCAGCCCGTCCCGCCCTTTCTGAGCGAGCTCGGCCAGGCTTTGCGAACGCTCGTCCTCCGCGAAAACGGGCATGTGGGGCCCATCCCCAGCCAGCTCGGAAACCTGACCCGCTTGACGGTCCTGGATTTGCACGGGAACAGCTTAAACGGTTGCATTCCGGGACAGCTCAACCGCCTCACGGCTTTGAGATCATTGGACTTGAGCGACAACCAACTGGGCGGCGCAATCCCCCCCACTCTGGCCTTCCCTCTGTTACACACTCTGGACCTGAACCGGAACGGCCTCGTGGGTCCCATTCCCGCCCGCATCCTCAACTCCGGCCATTCGCTCATAAAGATGGACCTGAGCCGGAACCAGCTCTCCGGTCCGATTCCGGACTCCATCCGCTCCCTCACCAACGTCATACTCATGGACCTCAGCTACAATAGCCTCACCTCGCCCTTCCCGACAAACCTCAAGAACCTCAATGCTCTGGCAGCTCTGATTCTGAGCGGAAATCCGATGCCGGCGGATGCAATCCCGGAATCTGCTTTCCAAGGCGGCTTCAAGGGCCTGGTCATCCTGGCGATGTCCAATATGAACCTCCGGGGTCCGATACCCGAGTCACTCGGAAGGTTGCCCAGCCTTCGGGTGGTGCACCTGGACGGGAACCGGTTGAGTGGTTCCATTCCGCAGAGCTTTGGAGGAGACCAGAGCTGCAGGCTGAGTGAGCTGAGACTGGAGAATAACGAGTTGACGGGGCGCGTGCCATTCAAGAGGGACGCGCTGTGGAGGATGAGGAGAAAGTTGAAGCTTTTCAACAACCCAGGGCTATGCTATGACGGCGACGGCGACGATCTTGAAGCCATCTCGGGTTCTGGTATTGGGCGCTGCGCCACCCACCCAACTACTGCGGCGGCGGCTGCGGTTCAACAAGCCTGGCCACCCAGTACCGCAACTTTAAGGATGAATTGCCCGCCTCTCATCATCTCTATGCTTCTATTACCACCACCTATTTTGCTTCTCTCCTTCTTGCTTTAAACTGGTGTCCCATTCAAATTTTGGTTGGTTTTAAATTTGGAGTGTATCATACATTTTCTTTTCTCACCCAATAGCATTCCAATTTAATTCATTAATGACACTATTTCATGTCCCACTATTTCCATGTGTCACTATTTTATTTGCCCACATAATGAGATGCACCATACATTCCAAATTTTCAAAGGCACCATAGCATGACCCTGGTTTTAAACAAGCTCACAATTACTGTACCTATACAAAATAAATTGGATATGGTACTTGTACTGTGGATTGATCCAAATCATTATATCATTTTTTATTTAGATTTAAATAATTCAATTCAACATTTTGATTGTTCCATGTGGACAAAGATATGGTACCTTGGTACCATATAATCTACCTTTAAGTAATTGCTCAATATATGATCAAAAGATATACAAAAGCAAAAATATTACTCCGTACTACATCTTTCTATTAAAAACTTCTAATTTCGGATTACGATGTTTGATTGACGATAAAACAATTTAGTCCCTATTCACATTCAGATTATTTTAAGTAAGTAAAATAAAGGAATTTTATCAATTCAGGACCCGAAAGATAGACGAATTATCAATCTGGGACCTGAAAAATGAAATGCATCGATATAGGACCCGGATGATGAAAAAATATCAATTTAGGACCTGAATGATTGAAAACTATTAATCTAGGACCTAAGTTGTCATAATTTTATTTATTTTTTTATTTTAAAAATTTTAAATATTATTTAATTTAGAAATTAGTTCAAATAGGACTAAAACAATGGCAAAAACTCAAAACAGGACTTGCTATGTTATTATTCCAAAATAGCACCATATGAGTCCTATTTGGAAACATACCTATTTTTACCTTCCATTCTTATCCTTTCATTAAATATGAGTTAAAAATAGTCAAAAGCCATAATTAAATGTTTAATTCATAATAAATTCTAAAAGAATTCAAAAATTCGTAGAAAAATAATTAAAAAATTTAAAAAATATTTATAAAAAAAAAATTCAAAAAAAAATTTAAAATAATTTTTCTTTTAAAAAAAATTAATAAAAAATAGTAAAACTCCATAAAAAATTAAAAAAATATGGATGCCTTTCCCACCGCCTGTACTACCTCCCTGCACCACCACCTCCGGCCATTGAAAAAATGCCATTTTTCCTAAAAACTGCCATTTTTTCTTCCTGAAAATGCCAAAAAGTGGCATATTTCTCTCTACGAATGCCAACATTTTCATTGTTTTCTGCTATTGATGGAGTATATGGCCCAGGGACCCCCGGCCCATAGACTCCTACTACTTTTATCAAGGCCCAATAGGCCCAGGAAACACAACAGGGCCAAATCGCAGTGCCCCGAGTACCAAGCAGCCAACAATGCACACTGGGGGTGCCTTCGGCCCCTTGGCCGAAGGCTCCAGATACTTACAAAACGGTTTTTTCAGGCATACGAAGACACTGGGAGAAGACAATAAAAACAGCAGCCCTCGGCACCTTGAGCCCTCGGCAGCTAGGGTGCCCCCGGAAGGAAGAGCCCTCGGTCGATCATCTGGGGCCGAAGGCTTCTCCTCGACAGAATCTCCCACCCACATGCGCTGGATCAACGTACGAAGTACAAACGTCACATCAAACCACCGCATTTAATGCGGCCACATGCGAGTGCCGGTGCCACCCCGTTGAGGTGACCCCTCGACCACCAGAATGATGACACGTGTCCCTATCTGGCATTTATTACTACTATAAATAGCGCCCTTTTCCCCCATTTGTAATCCAAGCTAAACTCACTCACTACATTCTCAGCAATATACTCTCTCTCTCTTACTTTTGCTCTGACTTCTCTCTAGTTACTCCACGCAGTAACCCTTCGGATACATACCCCCGGGTAGACTATCCATCATTTTGGTGTTCTCGTTGAGAGGTCGAATAATCAAGTAAGAAACCCTCCCCCTCGCCAAACACAAAACGCCTAGCGAAAATGGTGAGAACAACTTGTGCCAACTCCAAGAACGTTGAGGACATGAACCTGGCCCTCAGCGAAGTCGACGTCCCCGAGGCCACTAACAGGGCTCCTGGGGGCGGCGTCATCGTCGGGCTGGATCAGACGGCTGTCGACCTACGCCATCAGATTCAACAAAATGCCCCCGATGCCCGCCTCGGCATTGAGGCCAAAAAGAAGGACCGGAGTGAAAACCAAGTTAGCCCTCCGGTCATCACTATCGACGTACAGTCGGCATTTTCAGCCTTCATCCAAACGCTCACCCAGAACCCGGGTGCCTTCGGCACTTTGGTTCCCCTTCAACCTCAGGTTGGGGAAAATGATAGGCACTAGTTGTTAGTGCCTAAGTATACATTTTTATTATTGTTTGTAATGTTTATTTACTAGTTCTGTGCAAGTTTATAGTTGTTACTTTGCATTTGATTGTAATCGTATTTCTAGCATTTTTATTGTTTGTTGTAAGTTGTAGTTAGTTTGGCTATAAGTTTAGGATATGTTTGGAAGCAAAAAGGATGAAGAAACCTGAGTTTTGTGCAAAACCCGGTCGGGTATGGACTTCACCCGGCCGGGTATGAAGTGACAAAGGAAACTGCTGCAAAACTAGCAAATACCCGGTCGGGTATTCCATATACCCGGTCGGGTATGAAGTGATTTCGGACCAAAGAACGTGCAGAAGACACAAAAATATGGGAAAATATTTGATTTGGTAAATACCCGGCCAGGTATCCGGCATTAGGTGTTGAAAACACCTATAAATAACCTCATTTTCCTTCACTTTTCATCATCCCTTCTTCCATACTCTTTAGCTCAGTTTAGAATAACATTTCTTTATATTTTTCTAGCTATGTTTAGTCTCCAAATGAGGAGCTAAACTTCCATTCTTGGTTTTGCTCTTGAAGCTTGTTGGTTATTAAAGTTGTGAGTTATTTTCTTAACTTCTTCTCTTGATTATTAATTCTTCCCTTAATCTCATTCTATATTAATGTTGGAGGGTTGCTAAGTGACGATTAGTTAACGTTCCGACATTAATTATTACTAGAAACGATCAACGAACCGATGGTTAATCGTTGGTGGTTTCACAAGTAAGTAACTTCGGTTTATTAATGTACGGTCGTGGTTAATAAACTTAAGAGGGATTAATTTTGTTGGTTAAACCGAAACCGTTGTGTTAAGGTTATCAACCTCAATTGATTTCATCAAGGAGTTAAAAAGATTGAATGCTACTATTATATCGGTATACGGCGTTGTTCTATATTTGATTAATAGTAAGGGTTATTAATGAACGGTCGTTGTTAATAACTACCCTCGATGAATTGGAGATACTCCTCGATTGAGTATTCGAGAGGGGATAAGTTATAGATATAACAAGGATCGACTAAAATATATCAACAAGTGGAAAGTAGCAAAGCCAAGTCCTTTTTATTCTTGAATTAAACACATATAGGTTGTTCATCTTAGTTTCTTAATTGAATTAAATTACTCAATCCCAAAACCCCCCTTTTAATTACTAGTTTCATAAAAAGAAAATCATTCCTTTCCATGTGGATACGAACTCTACTACGCTATACTACGTATAAGTGTTTAGTATTGAATTTATTTTGACGCACCATGACAAAGTGCCCGTCAGAAAACATCATGCCTCCCCCTCATCCACACCCCCTCGCGAACCCTGTCCTTCGGATTGGGAACGTCGAGGGGGTCGTGGCCCAAGATACGGTCTCCCAGGAAGTCCAATCCCGGGACCGCCACAACATGAACAAGGAACAGCCCTGGACCTTCGCCCTCGAGAGACTCGGAGGGGCGCAAGACCGCCGAGGGGTCCAAGACCGCCGAGGGGGGAAGGTGCTCCAAAGGCCTCAGGAAAGTGGCAGATCCGTTTCCCGGGCGGATGAAAGACGTCCCCCTCAAGACAAAGGCAAGGCACCTCTCCATGCCGACAACGCCCGTCACCACATCAACCAGGCCCACTCGGCCCGTGTCCGTTCGCAGGGGGCGGAGGCCCTCCCGAAGGACCCCCGGGAAAAAATCATCGCGGCCCTCCAACGCCGGCTTGACGATATGGAGGCCACCAAAGCGCACGCCACCACTTCTGCCCCTCATACAGACCTGAAGTATGAGGACATGTTGGCCAAGATGGAGGAGATGCAGAAGAAGATAGCCAAGGGCTCCGGGGAACCCACCATACAGCTCCGGACCTGGACGCCATTTACCCCAAGGGTATTGGCGGCCCAGATTCCGGAGAAATACCAAGGACAACTCATCAAGCCCTACGACGGAAAAACTGACCCTCAGGAGCACTACTGCAGGTACCAAAACAATATGATGATGGTGGGGGCATTAGATGAGTATTTGTGCCGCTGGTTCCTCTCCACCTTAGAGGGGCCGACTTACGAATGGTTCAAACGATTGCCCGAAGGCTGCATCGACTCTTGGCAAGAACTCGCCCAACGATTCTTGACACAATTTGCGGGAAGGCGCCGAACAAGAAAACACTTCTCCCACTTGCTAACAGTGAGGCAAAGGAAAGAGGAGACCCTTCGGGACTTCTTAGAACGTTGGAGAACGGAGGCTGATAAAGTTGATGGCGCAGACGACGGGACCCTCCTGGCCCTCCTCCAAACAGTGCTCCGCCCCGGCAACTTCTCAAGGAGCCTCATCATCGACCCCCCCCCCCCCCCCGCGATTACATAAGGGCCCTACAGCGGGGGGACCGATACGCCGAGGCCGAGGAGGTGGAGAAATGCCATCATAACCCCGATCAGCAACGCCCTCGGCCAGATGATAAAGACAACCGGGGGCCGGGGGCTCTTCATAGTCAGCCAAAGGGTTCAGCACCCCCCAGTGATCGCCCTCGGCACGGCCAAGCCAAGCCCGGGGGAGGTTACAAGGGTAACCCGAAGGCTTGGGCGCACCTCGTCAGCGTCATCCTCGATTTTGCTGAGGAGAGGGGTCTGGTGGAGCGAGATTCTCGCGCACCCCCGGAGGTATATGCCATCAATCCAAACTACCCCTACTGTCGCTTCCACCGACATCAAGGGCACAAAACCGATGACTGCCATCAGCTGAAGACAACCATCGAGAGGTTAATACAGGCGGGCCATCTGTCCCAATTTGTCCAAGGCCCTCAGCAACAGGGTCCTCCCTACCAAGGG